AAGTTTTTGGACATTGCTCCTCTTCTTATCACTACACCCCACTAAGAAGCATATTGACTTTTGTTTTGTACCCAGATAAGAATAGTTTGTTAAACAGAGAGCAAGAAGAAAAAAATTTCTCTGAAAGTTCTTGTAGAAGAGCTAGAAAAAATACAGTATGGACATTATGACCATTACTATTACTTTATTTATGATAATGACAACAGGAGCATGGGACTGGAACGAACTTCTACGTAGTGTGGTGTCTTCTTCTTACAGTTACCACACCAGATAATCTCCACCCTGCACACTTTCAGCCATCATACGGAGTGGCAGCCAGTGTCTTTTACCCTTAGAAGTGATGGTGAAGTGCTGTACTACACCAAATCTCATTGTGTGCTTCCTGTGCAGAAAGGACATCCAGACATAGTCTAGACAAGTCATGCCAGCTCTTGTAGCAGGTGCTACATAGGAATAGGTTAGCCGAAATTTATGACCAATGATTTCTAGCTCTAAGCTGAAAGAATACTATTTCTTCTGTTTGCAGTGCAAATCACTGCTAGGACAGCTTATGGTGCATATTAACAACATAACCTAGACTTCATCATTTGAGGCTGACACATCCACCCCTCTGGCATTGCATGCCCTTTACCAAAGGGTACCACTTTTCTTTTCCCCTAAGGAAACAAAAATTGAAACCTTTTTAATGCTTTGGGAGCCTTCACTGCGTATATACAGATTTTATTACTGTGACTGTGCTGAAGTGAAAAAACAGGTAATACCTGCTCCCTTCCCTTAACATATAATATCATTCTAGCATTATTATAGCAAACTGTAATGCCAGCAGTGTGAGAATGCTGGGTGAGTCATCATGGTCTACTAAGGCACTCTCCAGCTGTCTCTCTCGCTTTCTGTCTTTGTTTCTCTGGTTTTATTTTCAGCATCTATGGAAAGAAACAATGTGCTTTAAGGTTATCCCGTGACATGCTCTACTTAGAAGAGCTCAAAGAAAGCATAACAGCTCAAAACAGAGGGGAGATTCCCTCTGTGTTGCTGCTACTCTGCCCCAGGCTACCTCTCAGAATGGGGGAAATGAGAGTGTGCTGGGGCTGCTTGCATCCCAAGCTGCAGCTTTGCAGAGGTACTGTCCCAAAATGAGTGTTTCAGTAGCCAAGGAAAGGCTGCTTTTGAAGCACACTTGATAAGAAATGGAAAAACAAAGTAATTCGTTGTGATAACTGACACTGACCCAGCTCTGTCCCTTTCTGAAGAATGTCCCATCTTTCTTGACAGGCTGCACAGAGACCTGTGGGTGCCAAATCTTTGCATGTGCTCAAGGCCAGGTTGGATGGAGCCCTGGGCAGGTTGATTCAGTGGATGGCAATCAGCCCACAGGAAGGGGTTGGAAATGGGTGTAATTTGAGCTCTCTCCCAACCCAAACCATTCTATAATTCTATGATTCCATCACCACTGGGTAGCAGTGATCAGGATGTAACTACCTCAGGTATGATTTTAGATAGTAACTAATGATGAACCCTTTAGCAACTTAGAAGACTCTACTACATTCATTATGGACAATAAGCTGGACAAAGGCAAGACTTAAAGAGTATGTCCATCCATAAGAATTTCAGTAAATGCTCAGTAAAAAAATAGCCTTATTTACCCTTTTCACTTTCTCAAACAACAACAACAAAAACAATAAACAACCCTTTTCGTTAATTTTACATTTTCTACAACCAGTTCATGCAGGCTTTCTTCCTTCCAAAGATAACTTAGCAGAAGAAATATGAATTCTTGTTACACATCTTCATTTTGCAGTAATCTCTGTGGCCTAACACTGAGCACCAGGAATAGATTTTGCAAATCAGCCTGTATATTACATTGTGGTGAGCTTGAAAGGAGAAGGAAAAGAACACCTAGCTATTTATATTTAACAAGTCTTCCCCCCCCCCTTTTTTTTTTAAACCACACTATAGAGAGAACCGTGAATTTTAAATGCTAGTTCATTAAAACATCACATGGAAGATGGAAGCTGAGGCAGAGGAAAAGAGCCTAGGTAGATGACAAAGATGTATCAAATCTTGAGGCCAATATTTAGAATAGAGATTACACTGCCATTCCTTAGAGTTATTTAAATGTCTTTCCTGCTTCTGTTTTAACCTCTCTCCTTTCCTACATTTAAGTACTAGGTTTTCACATTTGAGGTTGAGTTAAGATTTAATGATCAAGCAGACTAACGGGGAAGTTCTTAGCAAATGTAGCAACTTCTCTTTTCTCTTTTATTTTTCTCTTTTCTTTTTTCCCCTTCCCTTTCCTTTTTTCCTTCTGTAGTCACTGTTGAATAACTTTCTATTTGCCTATCCAGCTCAAATTGCCAGTTTCTAACTTCTGAATCAGTTAATCTAGATTTTTCTACTTTCAGAAAGATAAATTTTATTTCCACGTTAGGGAAAGTAGAAACATCTGGGTGGTGGAATGAGACTGCTAATTTTAAAATACAAGACTCTAGTCTGTTTGCAGCTACCTCACAATCAGTTGTTGCTTATCCTACCGTGATACCACTGTAGACAAGAGACAGATTATGTGTGTGTGTATAGATGACTTCATTGGTAGAGAAGATTTTGACTTAGTTTTTGTTAGCAGATGGCCAACTTCTTTTTCATAGAATCATAGAATTATTTAAGTTGAATAAGACCACCATGATCATTAAGTCCAGCCCCCACCCATCCCCACCATGACCATGTTCCTCAGTGCCACATCTCCACAGTTCCTGAACACCTCCAGGGACAGTGATTCCACCTCCTTCCTGGGCAGCCTGTGCCAGTACCTTACCAGTCTCTCCAAGAAGAAATTCTAATAGGTAGCAGATAGTCATTTCTGTAATAGGCATTTCTGTGTAAAGTTTCTCAACTGCTTTTGAAAACTCCACCCTGAATATTAGTATTATTATTAAAGGGAACACGGGGCACAAATATGTGTACTTTAGATTATCTAAAACACATCCGAGTATCATATTTTCTTTTCTCCATCTGTGAAATCTAAATGCAGGATGCCTTATGTTCTTTGTTTTTCTGCATGCTTTGACCGCCTCCTGAAGGACTCAGAACATCATTTCAGGATCCATGTAGTATCACTTTATCACTGACAATTGTTTTTCTTACACTGGCTCACTGTGAAAATCTATCTTAATAGAATTAATTTCAGGGAGTTTACCTTAATTTAACACGTGTGTGGACAACATTTCTGTATTCTCCACAAAATCATAAAGAAATATAGGATCTGCTTCACCATCTGTTAAACTTCTTAATTTAAATTAAGTAAGCTGAATTGCATTAAAATCATAAAGGATGGGAAGGAAATAATGAAAAATATCCAAGAGCTCATTTAAAAATATGGACACTATACTTCACCTGGCATTAATGGTCACAGCTTTCTTGTAATGTATGCAAATAGTGTTATAGCAATTCATAAAGAGGCATTTATGTAATTAGTTACTTCTTTGTTAGAGATCTTTTTTGCCTACTTACTTAATATCTTAAACAATGAATTCCTCGTCATGCAAAAGGTAGTGCTAGTGAAATGACAGTGCTGTTTATTTCCACTGGGATACCTTTAAACAATGAAACTGCAATCACATAAAAACAAATAGAAGTTCCTGGCTTGTTTTTTGTTATTTATTTTTTTCTCCCCTCCTATGTATCATGGAATGTCTTCAACAGATTACATTGATTAAGGCTAAGATACACGTTTTTTATACTGACATCAGTCTAACTGCAGGTTTACATTTACAGCTTGTCAATGCCATTTCTACACTCCGCATTCTCTCTTCTAATAAGATAAGAATCATTCATCTTCCAATAAATAATACTTCTACTAGTCCTAAACTAAGAAAGTCCTCAAGCTACAAACTGTAAGCTTTCCCCCCATTGTGCTTAGAGCATTTGGAGAAAATGCTTAAAGCATCTGAGCAGTTGCTTCAAGACTGAACTTCAAATTCTTCCTTCTCTTTTTTTCTTTGCTGTTCAGTCTACAGAATAGCTCCAAACAGGACTAGAATTAATCCTCAGATATGCTAAGTTGAGTTTAAATCATTTGTCTTGATCTGGTTCAGCTTTTGTTTTTGAGTGAAGTTAGCTGTACATTTGCACAGCACTGGAAAAACAGGGTCCAGGTCTTCAGACATGACTGCCTGTATAGGATTTGTCTAAGCACATATTCCTACCATGGAGATATCTACATCCAAGATGGACAGGCTTCACTTTGACTTATTACAAGCAAATAAACTCTTTTTGGGATAATAAGTCAAGAATGCATGTTTGTGTATTAGCAAGTAACTATGATATTAATTAGCGTGGATATTTATCTGAACTAGGATTTTACATGAACTAGAAGCTAGCACCTCCTATATCATAGAATGGCTTGGGTTTGAAGAGACCTCAAGAATCATGAAGCTACAACCTCCCTGCTGTGGGCAGAACCAACAGCCTCCACATTTAATACTAGACCAGACTGCCCAGAGCCCCATCCAATCTGGCCTTGAACACCTCCAGGGATGAATGGGGCATCCACAACCTCTCTGGGCAGCCTGTTCCAGCACCTCAGCACTCTCTCTGTAAAGAATTTCCCCCTGACGTCCAACCTAAATCTTCCTTCCTCCAACTTAAAACCATTTCCCCTTGTCCTGCTGTTATCCACCCTTGTAAAGAGTTGACTCCCATTCTGTTTATAGGCTCCCTTTAGGTACTGAAAGGCTGCAATTAGCCTTCTTTTCTCCAGGCAGAACAAGCCTGGCTCCCTCAGCCTGTCTTCGTAGCAGAGGTGCTCCAGCCCCCTGATCATCTTTGTGGCCCTCCTCTGGACCCCCTCCAACAGCTCCCTGTATGTCCTGCAGATAGATACTTTTTCAGCACAAATGTTGTCTGAATCACTTAAAAATCATTTCCCTCCCTGCAGTAAATATCAGTTCCATATTTCCAATTATTTCCAATCCAGTGAAAATGATATCAGTGAAAACGATATTTCTTAAACATTAAGTTTACCTTTTAAAGCTCTTCTGCATGTTCATCACTTTGTTTTTCAGTATAGTAGGAAGGCTGATCACTTCCATGGAAAAGGGACTCGTCAGGGCATTCTTTCTTCTATGAGGTTTATTTGTTCTTGGAATATTGTCCTTTCAGATTTCATTTAACCAAAACCTGCTGCATTTATTTTGGTCTCCAAAGTGGAAATAATGGAATCTTCCAGTGCCACTTCTCAAAATAGCAACAGCTTAATCCTTGTGATTTTTTTCCTCCCACTGGGCTGGAGGAGAAGAGTCACTTATAAGGAACCCTAATTTAGCATATGGGCTGATTTTCAGCACAATATTGTATCATCCTGAAGGAAATAGCATTCCCTACCATGCAAAGATCCAGGACACCATCAGCAGCCACTTGATTTTTTCCATCTCCAAATAGTATTTGCTCCCCTCCCACCCTTTTTTTTTTTTTTCTGAAAAGGAACTGCAGCAGGGGAAGGACTGCCTATGTAGTACCTAAGTGTCAGGGCTCTGATCTCACTTGGCTTCCTGGCTGCTATTGCAAATCAACCAAAACTGTCAGAAGACTGCATTACCTTTGTTGCAATTGCCTTTGCAGTTGTGAAGAGTTAAGGAATTCTTCATATAATCAAGATTCACATGATGGTTTCACCCTCTGGAGGAGTTTGAAGCTAGTGTTTTGTTTCTCATTAAAAGGAGACAGATTACATTTATTTTAGAACTTGGATTTTTGCCATTCCATTACTCTGCATCTCGCTGGATCTGGCTCCAGAAATCTTGGTGTGATCCAAGTACCTGCTGTTGCATCTGTAGATAGTAACAAAATTTGAATTACACAGAGTGAATACCAAGTGAAAATTAAGCAAAATCACATGGCTCTAGGGATTCTTTATTATGAAATGTAATACCTCACTAGCTATATTTACTAGATAAAGCACACTTTTTGTTCAGTTTTGCTTGTGTTTGAGAGAGAATTTGTGAAAAGATCAGTTTGTTAGTAGGTGGCTCTAAAACAAAATCAGAATTGTAATGAGCACTAATAAAGCAACCTAACTGGGAAAACTTAGTAGAGTCAGCACCTGCCCCACACAGCAGTGGCTGTGGATGTGTATCATATGACTTCTGAAAGTGAGAAGTCTTCCTTCCCTACTGGCTGTGGAGTCAGCTTAGGAAGTTGTAACTGCAGCCTACATTGCCAGCTACTGGCAAACTGCACTCTGGAAAGCACATGTTCTCATTTTAGAGAGCTTGCAGTGAGAAATCCCTATTCATATCCTACAATCAAGCAATGATCGTGACAATGTGTCTTGCTAGGAGAGCAGGAAAGAGAACCTGTATTTATATTTATCTGCTGTGTAATTTCACACATTTTTCTGTACCTAAGCATAACAGCTAGATACCATGTGATGCATCCCTCATATGCTAATCAATGTGTGGCACTATTGAAACCCAAGCAGCAGGTAAAGCCAATTCATTCTGCCCAAATTTTGCTTTGGAAAATGTCTCAGTCGTTTTTCCAAAGGAGGCAGAACAACAGCCAAATTAACGGTGTTTGGATTTTTTATTTGAATGATCCCTTTCCACACGCCTTTGTTTTATTATGAGGTTATTATGTTTCGCAATAAAAGGTGAATTTTCAGAGCTACCATCAAAACAAAAATCCTCCACTTCTGTTGACATAAAACATTTCAAAACAGAAGGAAAAAAATGTCATCCATTTGGGTGGGTATTTTTGGAGAAGTTTCAAATGTGCTCCAATTTGGAAGAAAGCCAAACATCAGAATCCTAAAATCCTTTGCAAAACCAAGCAGACATTGTCTGCAATTGCTGTGCTGCTACTCAGGATTACATTCCCCCAGCCAGAACAAGCTCAGCAATTACAACTACTGCCTGAGCCTAAGAAATCTGGCTCTGGTAATGCCATTGATTTTCTTAGTGAGTGAGACTGGTCATTTGCCCTCTCTCTATTTCACTTTCCTTATCTACAGACAGAGGATAAATGCTACTGACCTTCTTTTATAAGTTTTGAGATGTATAGAGGAGAAAGGCAAGGCGTTCATCTGTTCTCAGTATTCCCAGAGATGTTGCAGTGCAAATGGAATGCAGTCTAAGGGCAAGACTTGCCAAAAATATGATCTCTAGAAAACAGAAACTGAAGAAAATAATCAGAGCAGATCAAAAACAGAAGTAGCTGATCTTAAGTAGAATAGACTTCAAGATGACCCCAAATATTTTAAAAGTTCCATGGAAGATTTTGAAAGGCCGCCTATTAAAGACGACAGTCTAGATGCCCAAGCAGCAGATGAAGTCAGGTCATTTTGCCCAAATTTTACTTTGAAAATTCTCAGTGGAGATTTTTCTAAAGTAGGCAGAACAGTCATGACATCCCCAGTCACTACAGAATATCTAATTTCTGGAGACTTTCATGCTCTGAGCAACCAGATCTTACTGTAGGCGTCCCTGTTCACTGCAGGGGAGTTGGACCAAATAACCTTTAAAATGTCCCTTCCAACTCAAACAATTCTAAGATTCTGTTAAATAAACTTGGCTAAAGAAATCAGTACATTTTCAGTACATCTTCATTGTTTTTGAAATTATTTCTTAATCACCCACTACTGTCTGTTCCACATTATGTTATTAGGACCTTAAGTCTGATCCCATCCCTGAGCTGTCACTCAAAGTGCATAGTGATTTGGATTTTTTTTTTTTTTTGAGGAAAGGAAACTTCTTGAAGCAATAGGATCAACAAAAGAGAAAATCAGGCTGGAAAAAAACCCAGGATCTGTTCATGACAGACACTGGCACAGTATGTTATGTCTGTGCAGTATCTATGAATAGCTTCTTTATTTTTATAGTCACAGGAAGGTACAGTACGTGTCACCTCTGAAATGTAATGAATCTAACATTCCAGTAAATGAAGTAAAATTGTAGACCTCAAGTATGTATCTTTAAAGATGTCTCAGGCAATTAATCTTTTCCAGCAGGAAGATTGGCTTTCTTACTTTTTAGGTTACCTGAAGAGATATCCACAATACTATGCCATATAACATACTGTCTTAAATATACCTCAGCACATAAGCACAGGACAGAGGAGCTGGAGATGGCTGAGTGGGATCTACTGGTTTCCCCTTATAAGTTAAGGGAACAAGGCATAGTTCTTTAAGTGTTTGATCTTTATCAATATAAAAGGTAATTGCACCTTATTTTACAGTGCACCCCACATCATTGTGAAATTCTGGTCAAATTTCATAGCGTCATTCTTTTGCCCTCATTCTGTCCTTTCTTGGAAGTTTTTGCCTTTCCTGTCCTACCTGTGGGAAGCCTTGAGGAGTGTGTACAACTGAGTGATGCCCTTTGCTCTGAACTCTGGGTTCTCAAGCTAATCTTACTCATGTCCTAGGATGACAGGATGACCTGCGTACTGATCCAAGAGATCCATGCTGCACGCAGCTAGAAGCTCCTGGTTATGTGTCAGGCATTGTACATGCTCAGAAGAAAATTATAAATGGGTTTCTTTTCTTCACTTTTCTATTGAAGTAAAGCCAAACTGAGAGACTTTAGATATCTTGCTAGTTAAAAATAACCAACATGTAACTACTGGCATATAGATGGCAATCTGATCTCAGTTATAAGGAATACACATATTTTCAAATACCCAAACACTATGGATGTCTACTAAAAGCAGCAGTAAGTATTTTTTTTTTTCTTTTGCTTGTTCTTCTGCCTGATCCTTGTGCCTCAGCTTTATTAGGTAGAGGGAATTTCATGCCAAGGTATGGCAGGATTTTGGTTGCCACAGGATAATCATTACTACCCATGTTGTTCAGATTCGCTCCATCAAATTTCTTAATTTACACATCCTCAGTCACCTTCAATCTTGCACAGGACATGTCCAAAGGTAAAATAAATCAGCTTTAATTAAGCAAGATTTACAGCCAAAAGTGCAAGCAGGTTATAATCAAAGTAATGCAACTGCAACTATCAAGTATATTAATGTGCTTAACATTTTTCCAGTTGGTAGTTAGCTAGTCAGAACTTTTTACAGAATCAAAAAATTATAAGGTCTGGAGATCAAGTCCAACTTCTGCTAAAGCAGGTTCCCTGCAGCAGGTTGACAGAACCACAGAATTGTAGGGGTTGAAAGGGACCTCTGAAGATCAAGTCTATGTTTCCTATATATCTCACTTTCCTCAGGGGAAAGTAAGATATTGTATAGTCAATGAATATAAAGATGTTATAATTATGAAATAAACAAGAGAGTTTGGCAAAGCAGACTATAACAACAAAAAAGAAGAAGATAGAAAGCTTACCCACATCCTAGACTTGCTGCAAAACTCCACAGGAGGAATATCCAAAAGAGATTCTTCCCTAGTGGTAGTCAGCTCTTAAATGGGTCTAGGAGAGGTGGAGCCAGGCTCCACCCCTTCCAGCAGCACAGGTGAATTGCCTTCACCTGTGTTCCCAGGGCTGATTCATTGCTTGCCTCAGGTTATCAATCAGAGGTTCAGGCCGTGATTCAGTAGTTCCCATACAGATATACAGATGAAGTTAAAAAGATATATTGGATGAAGTTAAAAATAACATATAGAGAACATCCAGTAGACATATCACTGTTACAGACTTTAAAATTTCATTACCATCCATGACTTTGTTCTATTAAAATTAGTTGTTCAGGTATTTTACTATACTGATAGAGAGTCCGTGAATGACACAGCAGCAATGCAGGTGACAGGTCTGGTATCATGTGCCACTGTATCCACTTCATCATTTTCTGTGCTAACTCTTCATTTTCAGCTTCTGCTATTACAGGTGACTTCTGTTAAACTGGTGGTTACAAAAACCTGGAGTTAGAAGGGTGTGTTATCAATTTCACAGATGAACACCAGAGATGCCCACTGATGTGAGTCTACCTGCTATGAAAAAAATGTCCAAACATAAAGAGAACAATGAATTATGCTATTTTTTTTTTCTCATAAAGTACAAGTGGAACAAACTGGATTTTTCTTCAGTATTTTAAAAAATATAACAGCTTTAAAGCTCATCTAAACTTGCAGTTCAGCTTGAAGATCTGTCATCCCTTACTGGAAGGATAGTTTCTATGCTTTTTACCCCCTAAATTCAGCCAAAGAAATTGAAAACCACTCACAGAGTCTTCTCTGAATGATGACCACTTCTGAAAGCCTTGTAAGTCAAGGAAATCTGTGTGAGTTTGGGAGCCCTTCTGTGAAACGAGTTTCCACAGAACAGTTTTTGGAAACAACATCAATTTAATAAGCTATCTTTCTTAAAACTGAATATTTCATAAAGTTGAGTTGTTTTGAACACTCTTCCAGAACAAACATAGTGAATCTTTGGTTAGAGAAACCCTGCATCTAGAAAACTGGAAAAAAAAAAAATAAAAACCCACAACTATTATTTTCATGGATGTGCATCATCTGCATGGATCTGCATGGATCTGCATCATCTTACACCAGTTGGGTCATGTTGTTGTCTTAGTTGAGACAGTTGAGTCACATTCACTCTGTACTCCCAGATGTAAAGCAGAATGGCTAGGCTGAGGACACATTATTTACAGTCAGGAATACTGAGGCCTTAAGCTTTCATGGAGATCAAGGGTATTGCCTGAAGCAAAGCCATATAGGCAGTAAATACTTAAGGAATGCTTTCTTTAATTAAAGGCAAAAAAAGGATGAAGTGCATTATTTAAGGTCATCCTGAAGGAAATCAGTGGTGCTGAAGAGAGAGGCCATGGCTCTTGGCTGAGGGATCCTGCTCTTTCCTCAGGATCACAGGTCTCCCAGGTCTCCCAAGGGAGGCACCTCTACATTTCAGGCTACAAAGCACTCCTAATGTGGATGCTGCTGTGATGATAAAATTGGCTTACTATATTCTTATAGTAAATCTCCCTCCATGAAGGCAAAGATAACCTATATGTCCTTGTGCATTCCCATTTCTGCTGCTATTGTTTGGGTTGTTTATGTTTTGGTCGTCAGCTTCAGCACTTCTCAAGCCACTGGTGATACCACCAAAAAGATGTGCTTGGAACCAGAGCATGGTAAACTAATATTCTGTGTATCTTAGAGACCTTTTCTGGGAATTGATAGAGTTACAATGGATCTCAATTATCTCTGTGCGTCCATTACCACGTGCCATCATTCCCTATGGATTCAGAGAAGTCTTTCAATACTTTATGTGAACTCAGTAATACACACTTTAATACCAGATATTATATCATTCTTCCTAAAATAACTCAGACAGTGGTCTGGGCCTTGTCTAAGGGAGAGCTGTCAAATGCTGAAGGAGCTGCATGGGTGACTATTAAATGATAGGAAGAAGTTTGTTGCTGCACCCAACAGCTATAATCCAATGAAGAGAGAAGGGCTAGTAAGGAAATGGAACTACTGGGAAAACAACAACAACAAAAACAAAAAACAAAAAACCTGCAGCTGGAAATTTTACAACATCACTGATATCAGTGGACAAGAAATGTAGCAGTGCTATTAATGAACTCATGGAGAACGATTCTATACACTGGGACCTCATGCTCTTTAACTTGACAAAGTGAACCTATCTGTTAGAATCAACAAAGAAAAGAAAAAATTGACCACAGAAAGGTAACAAGATCTACTAGTAAAAAAAAAGCAAGAACTAAACAAATTCAGACTAGAAATTACTAGTGCTATTTAGGTGGTAGTTCTTTTATGGTAGGGACTTTCTATTGCTTCCACTGTGACTTGGGTAAATGAGTTTGAACACTCTTTCACAATACATGCTGATACTACAAACAGTCATTAATTCGGGGATTAACTATGTCTTTGTTATGCAAAATCTCATATTAGATGATGATAATCTTGCCTTAAAACCCAGGAATCACTGGCAACAAGAAGGATTTAATCCAAGAGATAGTGGCCTAAAGTGGAGTAAATGAATCAAATCTGGGGATGCAGAATATGAAAAAGAACGCTTAAATGGTGCCTTATAATAAATCCAGAGGGAATAATTTAATCCTATCATTAGGCACTGACTGAAGTGAACATCCATTTAACTGTGAACAGAGATAAAATTGCCCATGCATTGTGCTGCCCACACTGGGGCTCTGCCTGTGAAGCATGTGGTGGTCCAATCAAGAGCTGAGGTGAACTTCCAAGGTGAGAATGTGGCCATGCCATGCCTGTACTGACATAACAGCATTGGAATGCTGGTCTGAGAAGGCAGCTGCCTGCCTCTGATGTGCATCTTGTCTTCACCAAGAAAAATTCATATTCCTGGACAAGCATTAGTGATTTTGTTCTTATCACCACTCCTGCTTGGATTTTCTGCACCTTCCTTAAAGAAGGATTCAACAGCATCCCTGCTGCTCTTCTGCGCTTGCTTTCACCACACTGTGTTTTGGCCAAGCTGGTATCTATCTACTGCAGTTCTTTTCTGCCTAGACCTCTTTATACCTTATGAATCTGCACAGGGACAGACAGCTTCTACAGAATTAGAAACATCTCTGAATTCTTGTTTCATGCTGTCTTTTTCCAAACTAAGATGGTGGACACACCATCTACCCCTTCATCCACATCTACCCCTTCATGCCAGTGCCTGGAGCTCCTATGACATCCCAGTGCTTTCAGAAAGAGAGTGACCTTTGAAAAGAAATTTTGCCTTGATGATAAATCATATCTAATCTAATCTATTTTAAATAGACTCTTAGATATTAATATTTATGTTTTAGTAAGTATATATATGTATTATACAAATAATTATACTACACTATGCTCAAATCTAATTATAGATCCATTGTGGCAGGAACTCTCAATTTGAGGGAGAGAGAAAAGATTGGAGTTGAATAAATAATAGATTTAAAGGATTGTAACAAATGGACTGCAGTGGCTCAGAAGGCATAGGAATTTGAATTTTTGTAAGGATTTATTATGTTTACAGTATCCGTGTTAGCAAAAACTGCAACTGCATAAGCAAAACTTTTTTTCAGCTGACATTGCACACAGCAATTATTTTCCTCTTTTCGCTAAAGAAAGAGGAGGCTTTTTATGAATTAGTGTACTGCAATACTAAGTTTTATATTATCTATAAACTAAGGTAATAAAAAATGTCCCATCGTTTTAACCTTGGAATCCAAGAGGGGATGTGGTGGATGTATAAAAATTGAATGCCCTCCAGTGGCTGGTTAACTGGTCAGTGCTGATGAGTGGGAGTTTACATCTATCCTGTAGAAGTGTATTTTCTCTGCATTTTCTTCTAGAGGGATCTCTGACATTTAGGCCGCATTTCCAAAATGGCTAGGCCATGTAACTAATCTGCTGGTAAGAAGATGCGGAGACCTTGACCAAAGCTTTTTTGTCCACCTTGAAGGCCAGGTAAATCCAAAGCATTTCTCCCATATCAGAGTGTTTTTTTGTCACATTATACATCTTGCAAACAAGATGCTTCAATCTGGAAAATAAAGCATTTATGCACGGTCTCTCTCAGAATGCATAACCTAGAGTTATTCAGGTGCATACTTGTCTAAATAAAGTTGGTGTCTTGAGTTGCAGTTGTAGGGTAGGTATATAAGATAGTAACACCCTCGCTATTCAAAGAATTATAAATTCTATAGTACCTTACTTCAATGCTGCATTCCAGAAAAAGAAAGGATAAGCACTTCATTATCACATCATCAAAAGAAAATTATGCTTAAATATATTTTGATGCAAACTCTCACTCCATTCACTGACAGTTTTGGATGAAAAGCTGAACTGGTCCGAATGAAACAAAATTTTACCCTTCTTTTTATCTTCTTGTTTTGGATCAAAGCAAATATGCAAAGCAAACAGAGACTCTCTGTTTGAATACAGAAAGGCAGTTCCATAAGCACGGGTTTTGAAGAAAGTTATACAGATGTTTTATTCTTCTAAATTAATTTAGCTAGTATGTGAAGCCAAGTCTACTGTAGCTGAGCTGGTTGTTTTGGAGACTTATCTATTTCCCATTTTTCAAGAATACCTATTTATTTCTGAACTTCTCCCTATGCTTTAACAAAATATTTTCTTGTGTTCTCTCTGAACATAAAAATCCTGAAAATTAAAGATGATATAGTATCATCTTTATTTTGATGTTCTATTGTGTGTCTGCTTATAGTGCTTCCAAATCCTATAGTAAAAGAGCTACTAAATGATTGCTCATAGAAGTTATGCCCTACTTTGAATGAACTGATTTTTGCTGATGTCCTTCCAGCAAGACAAGCAGCAATTGCCAGAATTAAATGGCATTATAAAACCCTGTCTTTGCTAATTTTTCAGTACCTAGGCTATCTTCACTTCATTTAAGGACTTATTTATTTTTGTCAGTAAGTGAAAAATCAAAAA